TGTCTTATCCATGGATTGTCTGATGAGTGGATCTCTTCAGCACTGATTGTCTTTCAAACAGATCTTAAGCCGAGAAATGGCATCAAATGTGTTGTCAACAAAAGTCACGTGTTTTTGATGTAAACATTATTTTTAGCGCAAACTTTAAATTCACGCATAAATTGTGACAAAATTTTATCACTTTATTGACAATTAAATCTAACTATTAATCATTTTATATGTCATTAAACAAATTATTTATTTTAATAATTTATTTCATTAATACATTAAAACTGGGAAATTAAATAACTTGTTATCTAGTAGATAATAGATTTTAATTTTTGAATTACGGTATAAATAAATAAAATTGCAACAAAATTGTTTGCATTTCCATAGATGTGTGTAATTAATAAATAAAACAAATAAAATGTTTTGAGTTATATTTAAATTTAAATAATTTACAACAAAATAAAATTATCAGAAGTAATGGCCTATAATTTAATCATCGACTTTGAAGTCCACTTCTGGTGGCCTTCATTACGCTTTGCGTCCTTTCTTTACGAGATATACGGCATAATCGTTACAACCCTTGCGGTGACTATAGAGGCCAGAGTTCGATGAGAATTGTTTACCACAACCTTTGGCCGCAAAAAAATTAAAACAAACATAAAATCAATCGCTATTTTACACCCAATAGAGCATACCTTCGGCGCAAACGTATGGCTTTTCTCCCGTATGTTTGCGCTTATGTACGACCAAAGCGAAGGACTGAGAGGCGCGGAAAGTGCATTCGGGAAACGGACACTCATACGGCTTTTCGCCGGTATGTGTGCGCATGTGAGACATCAAACCCCTCTGGCTATTGGCGCTGTACTCACAGCCGGGCCACGAACACGACAGGGGCTTCTCCTTAGTGTGGGTGCGCCTGTGCTCTAACAGATACCGGTTGTTGTCGCACCGGTAGTCACACCCTTCCCACGTGCACGCGAACCGTTTGATACCCAAATGCCGGTCCTTATGGAGGTTGAGGTGATTATACTGCTTGAAGGCGAACCCGCATTCGGGCCAATCGCACACAAACGGTCGCTCCAGAGACAGGTCGAAGCGACAGCGAAATCGGCGCCCTTTCACGGGATTGTGTTGAGCCCAATGTTTGTAAAATTTTTGCTTATGCCGTGCCGTTGCCGTGAAGTTGCAGTCGTTCTCATCGCACACGTATAGGCCGTCCACTAAGTATTTACCGATCCGGTCGTCTCTACGCTGTCTCTCGAGGGTCTTGACTGAAACCTCTGCTACGGGTGTGTCTACTGTGAGATCAGGAGTGATAGTCTCGTTTTGGTCATTCTCTGTTGGCTCCGGAATGGTTGGTTCCATCAAATCGGGTATCACTTGGGGTTCTTCGCAGACAACGGGACACGTTCTCTCATTTCCCTCCAGATGTCGATAAAAATGGTCCCTACGTTTGGCCTTAAAGCTACAGTCGGGTCGATCGCAGCAATAGGTTTTGGTCCTGCGGTCAAAGAAAGGCATCACCGCGTCGTCCATAACCTCTAAACTCTGGAACAATTCGGGAGTCATTCCCGGCGTTGAGTGTCTTTTCTTATGTTTATAACATCTAATCCAATCCGTTGTACTGAATGTACAGCCGATTTCATCGCACAGATAATAGTCATTCTTCTTCAGTTGCGGACGTATTGATTGATTCGTTTGTTTCTCCTTTACATTAGAGGACTTGGATGTGCTCTTAATCTGAGATTTCTTGGACTTCTTACCAGACTTCTTGTTAGACCTCTTCCGGAGTTTACGCTTAGGTTTCACTTTGAAGTCATTATCATTGTTATCGTTCTTGAGGTTTACTCCATCTTTTAGGTGAACACTTCCACAATCACTTACGGCATCACTTCGGGCGTCCATTGTCTCCATGTCTTCGTCCACCGGTTGATAGTCATCGTCAGAGAGGTTGATGTCTATGGTATTGTCGTCGCATTTAACAGCAATGGTGTCACTAATTGTCTCATCAATTGGTTTACTCTTCAGTAAGACTACACTGTTTACAATCGCGACATCAGTTTGAATGAATTGGTCCCGCGTTTCGGTCACTCGTCTCCAACTGTGGATCAAATCCATAACATTGTGTCCATTGTTTGCATTCAAACACATCTTAAGAGCGCGTAAATTGTCTTTTTGTCGGTCAACGCATTCCTCCTGTTCTGCAAACTCTGAATACAATCTGTGAATGTTTGTACTCTTGGATCCATTGACACGATTGTCTTCAACTATTTTTACAAGAGTTTCGTTCATTTTGGTAATCTCTTCAACAATTAGATCCGATGTCTTCACACATTCACTCAATGTTTTGATTTTGTCTCTCATTTCTAACATCTCTTTCTGACAACTGATCCAAATGTCACTCAATCGGACCTCAAGTGATTTTGATGTCATTGTTGTCTCAGCCATGGATTGTCTGATGAGTGGATGTCTTCAGCACTAATTGTCTTTCAAACAGATCTTAAGCCAAGAAATGGCATCAAATGTGTTGTCAAACAATAGTCATGTGTTTTTAAAGTAAACGTAATTTTTGAGCGCAAACTTTGAATTCATTCATAAATTGTCACAAATTTTTATGATTTTATTGACAATTAAATGCAGTTATCAACCATTTTATATATCATTAAACATGTTTTAAGCATATTTTCACAATCTATTTGATTAACATATTTTATTACATATAATAAATAAAAGTTATAATTTATAACTTGTAAAACAACAAAAGCATTAAATACTTCAAAATTAAAATACAAGTTACTTTTACGGTAATAGGTTTTACCGTAACATTTAATTGGCGTAATATTACATTGTAATACAATTTAACATATTTAACATAAAAATATTTACATTTAAAAAATGATTTAAATTAATAAATTAATTACAAAATAAAATGTAATAAATGTTGTTTACAATAAATTCTGTGTAATTTTGTCTTTAATTTAATCGTTGACTTTGATCTCCGCTTTGATCTCCTCTTGCGTTGAGTTTTGTTTCGGTTTCCGTCCCCTCGTTGTGAGACAAATGTCAGACTTGTGGCGACCCCTGCGGTGAATGTAGAGTCCGGCCGCTGACGAGAATCGTTTACCACAATCTGCGGCCAAAATAAACAATTAAAACAAAATCTTCGCTTCAATTCTCAATCGCATACCTGTTTCGATGCAAAAGTACGGCTTTTCGCCGGTGTGTCGGCGCTTATGATTGGTCAGCGCAGAGGAGCCGGACGTACGGAAACCGCATTCGGGAAACGGGCACTCAAACGGCTTCTCACCGGTATGTTTGCGCAGATGGGAGTCCATACCCCTCTTACTGCTGCAACTGTACTCACAGCCGGGCCACGAGCACTCCCGGGGCTTCTCCTTGGTGTGGGTGCGCCGGTGTTCGAGCAAATATACGTTAGAATCGCACCGGTAGTCACATCCGGGCCAATCGCACGCAAACCGTTTGATACCCATATGTCGATCCTTATGGCCGTTGAGGTGATGTATTTGCTTAAAGGCGAGCCCACACTCCGGCCAATCGCACGCAAATGGCCGCTCCAGAGACAGGTCGAACTTCGCGGACAGTCGTTGTGCGCGCCCGCGGGCGAGATTGTGTTTCGCCCAATGGCTGTAAAACAACCTCTTGTTGGTGGCCTTGAAGTGGCAGTCAATCTCACGGCACACGTACTGGTCGTCCACTTTGTATTTACCGATTCGTTCGTTTATATACTGTGTTTTCCGGCTCTGAGTCGGCGACTCTTCGCCGGGTTCGTCGTCTTGTATCGAATCTGCTTTGGCTTTGGGTTCTTTGCGGCCGACAGTCATTCCATGACTCACGAGATGTTTGTAAAAAAGCGCTATACTTGTAGACGTGTGGCCACAATCGGGTCGATTGCACGCATAGATTCTGGTCTTGCGGTCCAAAAAAGGCATCACCGCGTCGTCCCATCGCTCGTATCGGCGGAATTCTTTGCGAGTCATTCTTGGCATCCGATGTCTTCGCAAATGGTTATAGAATCTCTCCTTATCTTCGGTCTTAAAGTGACACATGATATCATTGCACACGTATTGGTTGTCCAGTATGTGCTCGGGTTGTATCAAATCTGGTATAAACTTTGGCAGTCTTCGAGAGCCTCGTTCTCTCAGCTGATGGTCGACCGCGTGAACAGTACCATCAGTTCGGGTCACGTCGTTGTGTCGACAGTAGTGTTGGTAGAAAACCCTTTTATTTGCTGACCGATAGCCACAGTCGGGCCAATCGCATACATAAGCCTTCAGTTTGAGATCAATCATCGGGAGTAACACGTCGTCCATACGCTCTAATCGTCGCATCCCTTCAGAAGTTAGAGCCGAAGTTGAGTGTCTTTACTCCACTAATATTTTGGATTTGGATAGCCGTCATGACTTATATGTGGGCGAAAGTAGCGTGTCTATTATCAGTAAGAAGAACACAACGCCTGCATAATTAACTAGGTAAACAAGTAGCGTTACGTCGAAAAACTTGGATGTGCTCTGAATCTGAGACTTCTTTGTTTTCTTCGGAGATTTACGCTTTTGTTTCACTTCATAATCACTATCGCTGTCATCATTCTTAATGTTAACGTCTTCTGTACATTTACTTCCACTATCACTTCGGGTGTCCATTGTCTCCATGTCTTCGTCCACCGGTTGATAGTCATCGTCAGAGAGGTTGATGTCTATGACATTGTCGTCGCATTTAACAGTAATGTCTTCACTTATTGTCTCATCAATTGGTTCACTATTTGGTAAGTCTTCACTCATATTGTTAACAATTACATCATGTGTTTGAATGAATTGATCCCGCGTTTCGGTCACTCGTCTCCAACTGTGGATCAAATCCATAACATTGTGTCCATTGTTTGCATTCAAACACATCTTAAGAGCGCGTAAATTGTCTTTTTGTCGGTCAACCGATTCCTCGAGTCCTGTAAACTCAATATAAAGTTTGTGGAGATCTCGACTCTTGGATCCGTTGCGACGATTCTCTTCAATGATATTCACAAGAGATTCAATCATTTTTGTCATTTCATCGATAATTAGATCAGATTTTTGAAGACAATCAGACATTTGTGTCATTTTGTCTCTCATTTCTAACATCTCTTTCTGACAACTGATCCAAATGTCATTCAATCGGACCTCAAGTGTGTTGAATGAATGTCTTGAGGCCATTGTCTTAGCCATGGATTGTCTGATGAGTGGATGTCTTCAGCACTGATTGTCTTTCAAACAGATCTTAAGCCGAGAAATGGCATCAAATGTGTTGTCAACAAAAGTCACGTGTTTTTAATGTAAACATTATTTTTAGCGCAAACTTTGAATTGAGATATAAATTGTTACTTTTTTAAGATTTTATTCACAATTAAATTTAATTGTCATTTTATATATCATTAAACATATCGTAAATTTTAAAATTAAAGCATACAAAATATTAATTAATAAAAAGCTAATTATTCAACACTTCAATCGCATTCTTTGGGTTTATAATAATTTGTAAACAGTTTAAATATTATAAATATATTTATTAATGTAAGTAAATTATTACAACTTTACACATAAAATGAATTTTAAACACTTTTATTTATAAAACAAATAAATAAATAAAAATGAAATTTTGTTGCCTAGCACTGATTGTCTTTCAAACAGATCTTAAGCCGAGAAATGGCATCAAATGTGTTGTCAACAAAAGTCACGTGTTTTTAATGTAAACATTATTTTTAGCGCAAACTTTGAATTGAGATATAAATTGTAAATAAAAATTATTTTTATAATTAAATCTAATTATTAAACATAACTTTGTCAAATTTATAATATTTATATAAATAATTACATTCATTTAATAATGTTGAAATGTGTATTTTACTTAAAATTTGTGAAAATAAATATTTTGTTTATTTATTTATTTTTACTTTAAAACAACGGATTGAATGAATGAATAGATCCCAAAGCGCGTTGTGTCCACTTCTTAAGCGCTCATATCATTAAATAAATAGTTTGAATTTATGCGACTATTGTTTCGGTTTCGGTCCCCTCTTTGCCGGTAAACCCATTGAGTTGTGATGACTCTTGCGATGTGAGTACAGTCCTGGCGCTGACGAGAACCGTTTACCACAACCTATTGCCACAAACAAAAACAACAAACACTTAATAAACACATAAATCACATAACAGTATGTATTTTACGGGTCAATCGCATACCTATTTCGGTGCAAATGTATGGCTTTTCGCCGGTGTGTCGGCGCTTATGTGTAGTCAGAGTGCAGTTCTGAGACGCGCGGAATCCGCACTCCGGGAACGGACACTCGTATGGCTTTTCACCGGTATGTTTGCGCATATGTGCAATCATTGCCCACAGACTATTGGCCCTATACTCACATCCAGGCCACGTGCACTCCCGGGGTTTCTCCTTGGTATGGGTGCGCTTGTGATCGTTCAAAGCGTATGTGCGGTTACACCGGAACTCACATCCGGTCCAATTGCAAGCCATGCGTTGAATACCCAAATGCCGGTTCTTATGGTTCCTGAGTTTACGGTTGTCCAACTTTCGCCTAGGCGTAAGCCCGGTTAGCGTGTGTTTACCGGCGAGCTCACTCTCCAGTTTGACAAGCCGGTTGTGTTGAGCGCCACTCAATACAAACTCGGTTACCGACACTTTGTGGAAAAACTTGGCCGACGTGAACTGACAGTCCGTCTCATCGCACACGTACTCGTTGTCCACTAAGTATTTACCGATCCGTTCGTTCATAATCTGTTCTCTTCGTGAGTGATGCGCGGCCTCGACGTCAGACTCGTCTTTGAGGTCAGAGTTGGAGTGTTTGGTGACGTGAATGAAAAATTTTGGTTTAGATGTCGACCGAAATTCGCAATTCTGATGATCGCAGACATAGGCGCCAACCGTCGGGTCCCACAGCGGAAGCGTTCGGTCGTCTCTTCGCTCTAATCGGCGAAATTGATGCCTCGACAGACCCGGCATTGCGTGTCTTTGCAGATGATTAGAGAACCGCTGCCTATCGGGTGTCCGGAATGTGCATCCGATGTGATCGCAAACATATGTCTGTCCGTCGAGTATGTGTTCGGGTTTTATCAAATCATGTTTGTGTTCAGTTTCTGGCCGACGAATACGCGTACGTTTGCCGACAATAGCTTTGTTAAGACCACTTTCCTTCCGGTTTTGGTGTCTGTAATGGTGTCCATAAAAACCCTTTTTATTTGCCGACCGTGTTGAAAGCGGATCCGCATTCGGGCCAATCGCACACAAATGGCCGCTCGAGTGAGAGGTCAAACTGTTCGGCCAACACAACTCGCGGTGAGTTATGTTTGAGCCAATGGCTGTGAAACACCTTTTTGGTGACAGACGTGAAGTGACAGTCCGTCTCATCGCACACGTACTCGTTGTCCACTAAGTATTTACTGATTCGTTCGTTCATAATTTGTTCTCTTCGTGACCGATGCGCGGCCTCGACGTCAGACTCGTCTTTGAGGTCAGAGTTGGAGTGTTTGGTGACGTGAATGAAAAATTTTGGTTTAGATGTCGACCGAAATTCACAATTCTGATGATCGCAGACATAGGCGCCGAACGTCGGGTCCCACAGCGAAAGCGTTCGGTCGTCTCTTCGCTCTAATCGGCGAAATTGATTCCTCGACAGACCCGGCATTGCGTGTCTTTGCAGGTGATTATAGAACCGTTGCCTATCGGGTGTCCGGAATGTGCATCCGATGTGATCGCAAACATATGTCTGTCCGTCGATTATGTGTTCGGGTTTTATCAAATCAGGTTTGTGTTCAGTTTCTGGCCGACGAATACGCGTACGTTTGCCGACAATAGCTTTGTTAAGACCACTTTCCTTCCGGTTTTGGTGTCTGTAATGGTGTCCATAAAAACCCTTTTTATTTGCCGACCGATAGTCACATTCGGGCCAATTGCAGACATAGGCCTTCAGTTTGAGATCAGTCATCGGGAGTAACGCGTCGTCCATTCGCTCTAATCTATGCATCCATTCGGGAGTCAAACCAGGAGTTGTGTGTCTTTTGAGGTGATTATAAAACCTAAACCTATCGGCAGTACTGAATATACACCCGCTTTCATCGCACAGATAATAGTCATTCTTCTTGTGTTGCGGACGTATTAATTGATCCATTTGTTCATCGGTTACGTCAAAGAACTTGGATGGGCTCTGAATCTGAGATTTCTTTGATTGTTTCGACTTCTTCGGAGATTTACGCTTAGGTTTCGCTTCATAATCACTATCGCTTTCACTCACGAGTTTAATCTCTTGTGAAGATTCACTTCCACTATCACTCACGACATCATTTATAGTATCCATTGTCTCCATGTCTTCGTCCATCAGTTGATAATCTCCATCAGAGTTGTCATTATTTTCCTCACTAATTATCTCAGGAATTGGATCTGTCTTTGTTATGACTTCACTCCTATGACTCACAATCACATCATGTGTTTGAATGAATTGATCCCGAGTTTCGGTCACTCGTATCCAACTGTGGATCAAATCCATAACATTGTGTCCATTGTTTGTATTCAACGACTTCTTAAACGCGAGTAAATTGTCTTTTTGTCGGTCAACTGATTCTTCGAGTTTAGAAAACTCTGTATAAAGTTTGCTAAGTTCTGGACTCTTGGATCCGTTGCGACGATTCTCTTCAATGATATTCACAAGAGTTTCGTTCATTTTTGACATCTCTTCGAGCATTAGATCCGATGTCTTCACACAATCACTCAATTTCTTGATTTTGTCTCTCATTTCTATCATCTCTTTCTGACAACTGATCCAAATGTCATTCAATCGGACCTCAAGTGTGTTGAGTGTATGTCTTGAGGCCATTGTGTTAGCCATGGTTTGTCTGATGAGTGGTCTTCAGCACTGATTGTCTTACAAACAGATCTTAAGCCTAAAAATGGCATCAAATATGTTGTCAACAAAAGTCACGTGTTTTTGATTAAACATACTTTTGGCGCAAACTTTAAATTAACGAATAAACTGTTATAAGATTTTAATCATTAAAATTGATATTTTTAATGATTAAAATTTAATGATAAGTATTAATTTTATTATTAATAAATATATTAACAATTATGCAAACATTTCCCAAAATATCCCCCAAATAAATATTAGTTTACAAAAACATTTTGCATTTGAGATCAGTTTACACTAAAAGCGTTCAGGTTGAAACGGGGGATATTATGAACATGACGTGGTTATTGAATCACCAAGGAGTTTTTTCAAATATTCATTATATATTCATTATATTAGAGTACACTATATGTGAGTAACATACGAATAGTGTATAAATTACAACACAAGGGTTTTATGCTGGGAGTAGTGAGAAGTAAATTCTGGGCACCGTTAGTTTACACTAAATGGTAACCAAATTATCTTTTATACATTCAAGTGGTCTATGGATGAGATAAATGCATTGAATGCATACAATCAAGTGATGGTAATATTAAGCGTTAACAGTGTATGAAATCGATGCCATTCTTCCAGTTCTTCAGCCATTCATCAAATCATTGTTTGCCTCAAAATAAACCAAATAAAAGTTTTCATAAACTTTTAAACATTTTCCACAAAAAATAAGTTTCAAAGTCAATGAATAATGTGTTAATGAATGCATTGAAACACATTGTGAGCACTGATTAGGCGATTACTACAGTATATACAGTACTGTATCAACACATTATTCAGTCAACTGTGTGTTTGAATTAAAAATTAAAGTATTTTTTTAACGCCTTAACAATGGCTCAAATGAATTGATGTTAAAAGTGTCAAAAATAATTGTAATTTAATTTTTTTATACAAAGAATTTTCTATGTGTTTAATAGCAATCAATGATGTGTTAATGGCTTTGAATACTGTGTTAACGATTGCATTGAAACACATTGTGTGCGAAGTTTAGGGGAGTATTATATGCGAGACGTTATTCATGTATGCATTGAATGATTGAAAACATTTGACAAAATATAAACAAACATTTGATTCAATACTCAAAACATTTTCTATTCATTTAATAGTTGTCTTAATTTAGGGCCAAATTGTGGCACAAAATCAGTGGACAATCAGTTTTGGACATCAATTACAGGCAAACGATGGCAACAAATGACAGTGAATTGGTGTATAAGACAAAAGTGGTGTTCAGAGTGAATAACTTTACAAAAGACATCAATGAAATATTGACCAGCGATGACATCACCATTGGATCCGATGTGTGGCGAGTAATGATCAGAGCGTTGGATCCGTGCGTTGAAAACTTTGTAAAAATAGGTCTCCAATTGGTTAAGACAAGTGATGGCAACGAGAATAGTATCGACTCTGAGATCGAGTACTTCGTTATGGACTCCGAAGACAAGCCATCGCTTACTTATCTAAGGAAAAGACAATCGTATTTATTGACAACCATTTACGTCAATAAGATATCGATTCCGTTGTCACAAATGTTGGATCAAATGGACAAATATCTGCCCAATAATACACTGACTGTTGTCTTCGATATCACAGTCTTTAAGCCCACGATTGGACCCAAAAGGAGGCGTCACTTCGGCAACAGTTTCCTCAACAAAGACCTCAACGACTGTACACTTATTGTCGGCGGAAAAGAGTTATTCGGCTGCAAAGCCATACTCAGCGGTCAATCAGAAGTATTTGAACGTATGTTTACCACTGATATGGAAGAGAAGATAACGAGTGATGTAGTGATCGATGACATCGATCACAATGTCTTCAAAGAGTTTCTTCATTTTATGCATTTCGGAGATTCAAACAAATTGTATTCAATGGCCGAACAATTGCTTTACGTTTCGGACAAATACATGGTCTCAGAGCTGAAGACTATTTGCGAGAATCTGTATTATCTCTCAATAACTCCGAAGAATGCGTTCAAAGTATTGGAAGTGTTGAACAAATACGGGAATCAAGACTTGATTGCAAAGTGTATGCAATATATTAAGTGTAATCTAATTGAATGTCTCGACAAAGAGTGGCCTAAACTCGTGGGCAATGATAACCAAATGATCACTAATTTAGTTAACGTTTTAAAAAACACTTCTAATACTACTAATGATAAGAAGAGCCAAACCATGTCCTATACATATCTGTCTGGACTCTAAACATATGATTATTTTAATGAAAGCTTAATTTTTAATGCTTTTAATCTGATTTTTATTAACATTTTGTAAATTTCTAAAATATTTTTAAACACAATTAAACAAATTACTTAAACATTTGTATTGTTTATTGAATGTCAAAATCATTAACTAGTTTTAAATAGTTTTAACTAAAATAAAGTAATGATAATAATATACATATTCATTGATTACATGTTTAACAGTTAGTTTGAATTGAATTCAAATTTAAATATAAATTCAGTTATAAATTACTTATACTGTAATAATGACTACTTTTATATATTCAATCGCTTTTGTCTTCAGTTCATTGTTTCCTCATTTATCTATCACTTCGTTTTGTGTCCACATTTCACTGTTATTGTTTCGGTTTACGTCCCCTCTTTCCCGTAGAACGGATTGAATTGTGATAACCCTTGAGATGTAAGTACAGTCCGGGCGCTGACGAGAACCGTTTACCACAATCTATGGCCACAAACAACAAACAATTAATAAACAAATAAATCACAACAAAGTATGCATTTTACGGGTCAATCGCATACCTATTTCGGTGCAAACGTACGGCTTTTCGCCGGTGTGTCGGCGCTTATGAGTGGTTAGAGAGCAGTTCTGTGAAGTGCGGAAACCGCACTCCGGGAACGGACACTCGTATGGCTTTTCACCGGTATGTTTGCGCATATGTGCGATCATTGCCCACAGACTATTGGCCCTATACTCACATCCAGGCCACGTGCACTCCCGGGGCTTCTCCTTAGTATGTGTGCGCCGGTGTTCCTTCATGTGATGGCTCGAGTTGTTGCGGAAGTCACAGCCGGGCCAACCGCACTCCACCCGTTTGACGCCCATATGCCGCTCCTTATGGCGCTGGAGGTAAGCGTTTCGTCTGAAGGCGAGCCCACACTCCGGCCAATCGCACACAAATGGCCGCTCGAGTGAGAGGTCAAACTGTTCGGCCAACACAACTCGCGTAGAGTTATGTTTGAGCCAATGGCTGTGAAACACCTTTTTGGTGGCAGACGTGAAGTGACAGTCCGTCTCATCGCACACGTACTCGTTGTCCACTAAGTATTTACCGATTCGTTCGTTCATAATCTGTATTCTTCGTGACCGATGCGCGGCCTCGACGTCGGACTCGTTTTTGAGGTCAGGGTTGGAGTGTTTGGTAACGTGTTTGAAAAATTTTGGTATAAATTCCGACCGAAAGCCGCAATTCTGATGATCGCAGACATAGGCGCCGACCGTCGGGTCCCACAGCGGAAACGTTCGGTCATCTCTTCGCTCCAAAAAGCGAAACCTCTTCCGCGACAGATCAGGCCTTTGATGTCTTTGCATGTGATTAGAGAACCGTTGCCTATCCGGTGTCCGGAATGTGCACTTATTTTGGTTGCAAACATATGTCTGTCCGTCCAGTATGTGCTCCGGGAGTATCAAAGTGTCCAGTGTTTCCTCAGTTACCACATTGTCCTCAAACTGAGCAACCAATTGGTTGGCGACCACATCACTAGTGATACAACTTTTAGTCCCTCTTTGGTGTTGGCAATGGTGTGAATAAAAACCCCTTTTGTTTGCTGACCGATAGCCACAGTCGGGCCAATCGCACACATAGGCCTTCAGTTTATGGTCAGTCATCGGGAGTAACGCGTCATCCAATCGCTCTAATCTCTGCATCCCTTCGGGAGTCAAACCAGGAGTTGAGTGTCTTTTGAGGTGATTATAAAACCTAAACCTATCGGCAGTACTGAATATACACCCGCTTTCATCGCACAGATAATAGTCATTCTTCTTGTGTTGCGGACGTATTAATTGATCCATTTGTTCATCGGTTACGTCGAAAAACTTGGATGTGCTCTGACTCTGAGATTTCTTTGCTTTCTTCGGGGATTTACGCTTAGGTTTAACTTTATAGTCACTATCGCTGTCACTCTTGAGCTTAACTTCTTCAGAATATTCACTTCCACTATCACTTCTGGCGTCCATTGTCTCCATGTCTTCGTCCAGCGGTTGATAGTCATCATCAGAGAGGTTGATGTCTATGACATTGTCGTCGCATTTAACAGTAATGTTTTCACTTATTGTCTCATTAATTGGTTCACTATTTGGTAAGTCTTCACTCATATTATTGACGATCACATCATCAGTTTGAATGAATTGGTCCCGCGTTTCCGTCACTCGTCTCCAACTGTGGATCAAATCCATAACATTGTGTCCATTGTTTGCATTCAAACACTTCTTAAGTGCGAGTAAATTGTCTTTTTGTCGGTCAACCGATTCCTCGAGTTCTGTGAACTCAATATAAAGTTTGTGAAGGTCTCGACTCTTGGATCCGTTGCGACGATTCTCTTCAATGATATTCACAAGAGTTTCGTTCATTTTTGACATCTCTTCGAG